CGGGAAGCATAGGGACTGCCGTTTTGAATGTGCTTCACTTCCAAAGGATCAAAGACGATAGGAACATCACAGGCTACGAGGAGACCTATTTCGGCATCAACTTCGGGTAGGCATACTTCACACAAGTGTGGCCACTGGTCAACGTCGTTCTGAGTGGGTATGTCCTTCTTTGAAACGGGTATTTCTGGTCTCGTATAAAGTGCTGGCAGCTCGATAAACACATTTTCGTCCAAATCCGAGATGACAACACCTTTCACAACGAAGCTGTCAATAATACTGTCTTTCTTTTCCAAAGTTGTTAGGGAAATCTGAATTCGAGTACCATTGACCCCTAGCTATCTCATCAAGGATTCTGTGCAAAATGAGGAGGAGTTACCGCTGTCCAAAAATGCGTAAGTATAATCACAGGAGGACCTGTGGATTTAAACCAAACTTTGACTGGAACCGCAGCCATGCCTATTCTCCAGCGGTTTAGATTAACCATTCTGTTACAAACGCGAGGGGACTCCTACTATGGCGAGGTACTAGCGGAAGGAATGCCAGATGGTCGAATCCTTGGCGCATGAAGAATTGTTGGATGTTTCCTCGTGCAGTTGGCAACCGTACATGTTTTCTTTTCCGGGCATTCCTTTAACATATGATTGGAGGACAAACAACCAAAACAGAGGCGCTTTAATTTCAAGAACCGAATCCCTTCTGGATACGGGAGGCGTCTAAGGGCCTCGCAGGCGGTAAGGGCGTGCCCAGAATTGCAGAAGGAACATAAGACGTCCTCAGTGGGAGGAGTTGATCCACAGGGTGGCGCACAAGGAGGTGGGCTCTGCAGATCGCCTACTTGCGTAGCAAGACTTGTTTTACCTCTACCAGATCTATTCTGCTTATCCTTCCGTTCATTCTTGGGCTTTGTGTCTTCAGTATTCTTTCCGAATACGAGATTGGCGATTACCCTTGCTTCATTGTCTACGAATTCGGCAAGATCGCTGAACGTAACAGATCTTCTCTCAGTTTCCATTACGTTATCGGCTAAACGGCGCCACGTTGTTCGTAAATTGAATGGCAACTTCATGAAGAGCTTTTGTATGGTGTCAGGCTGCTCGAGCTTGGTCCGGTATTTGCTGCATTTCATAGCGTTTTTGCATCTCATGAGAAAGGTGAAGATCCTGTCCAGAGCGGCAGTGTCCTCAGCTCTCACTTCAGGCCAGTTTAAGGCCTTGGTTTCATAGCCAGTCACAATGTGATAATCGTCGCCAAATTTCTTTTCTATCAGCCATCGGGCTTCCTGATAAGCCCTTTCAGGTGGAAGGTGATGGCACGATCGAACTAGTTCTTTAACATCACCACTAGTAAACTGTTCAAGGTAATACAACCTCTCATTACCACTTGAGGTTCTAGACTCAATGAGGTTTTTAAAGGCTCTCACTAAGGCACCCTACTCCATTGGATCACCATCGAAGATAGGAACCCTTTGCTGGGGAAGACTGCTTTTGTTCTGCTGAGGCGCAAGCATTTCCACGATTTTGTTCTGCTGTTGTTGCAGCGCATTTTCACGGTGATGCAGCCCTTGCATTTCGTGAACGGCCCTCTCACTTGGTGATGTCGACGCACCTTAGTGTTCAGACTCGTTAGAACGTTCATTCCTGTTAATTCCTAGCGAAGGCTGATCCCATTCTGCTGCTTCGGGGTTTAGGGTAGAACAACCAACGGCGACTGATAAATGACCATTTGCTCCAACTGGCTTTGTTTCAAGTCCAATAATAGGTGCTTGAACCTTTCCCTCACCCTTCTTGAATTCCAGGTTTATCGGATTCGGCACAAATGGACGCGGGGCAGCCTCCATAACTGTAGATAAAACTCTTTCTTTAGCTTTAGACTTAGCGAGTTC